GAAGCTGAAGAAACAGTGGACCACCTAGTTAGCTGCTGCAAGAAGATTGCACAGACTGACTACAAACAATGTCATGATAAAGTAGCAACAATAATGCTGCAATGGAATATCTACAAGAAATACCATCTGCCTGCAAGCAAGAACTGGTGGGACCACAAAACAGACAAAGTAATAGAAAATGAAAAAGCTAAAGTGCCCTGGGACTTTTGAATTCAAACAGACAAGCACCTGCCACACAACACCCCAGACTTAACAATTGTTGATAAAGATAAAAAAGTCTGGATAGTGGACATTGCAGTACCTAGAGACAGCAGAATAGAAGAGAAAGAACTGGAAAAAATCACAAAATATAAAGACACGCAAATAGAAGCAGAATGACTATGGCACAAGGAAGCAAAGATAGTACTGATAGTTATAGGCACCTTGGGTGCAATCCCCAAACATCTGGAGCACCACTTGAACACCAACGGTGCTGACAAAATCACTATCAGCCAATTGCAAAAGGCAGCTTTACTTGGAACAGCTTCCATCGTACTATGATACCTTTAACACCATCAAACAACAGCATCTGCTATCCCAGGTCCTTGGGAAGGACTCGACAGATGGATAAAAAGGCCAAATGCAGTCTAAAGAAATGGCTGATTGTGCGACCAACAATACAAATACAGTACTGTAATAATAATAATAGCAGCAAATCCTGGTTACCAGGAGCCAAACGCCTCCGGAACGAAACTCCCTCCTCTCTGCCCTGAACGGACTTGCTCTCTTGATCAAAAAGGCTGCTTCTCAATGCCGAAGCAAAGACCTTGGTTTGACGGGGCGGCCCCCCCAGTAAGCCTTAAACAGCCGAGCCGTCCGTCCAGGCTGGCGCGTCTCCTCCGGACAGACGGGAACGCAACGGAGCCCCTCTCCACCCGCCGCCCCACCTCCTCTGCCGCCGCGCCGCCGAGGTGCCCAAGCGAGGCCTCGAGCTCCACCTTCCCGCAGCCTCCACTACCTCGATCACGCAGGGACACTCCAGCAGGCAGTATTTCAAATCCTCGCGCACCCCGGCGCACGCCCGCCGGTCCTCCTCCTTCCCTTCGTAGTACTTCGGCATCGCGACGAGGCCTTCTTCGCCAGTCACGGCGGCACCCGGCCTTCCTCAGCGGCAGGAACACACTTCCGGGGAGCCACCGTCTTTGCCCACCCTACTTCCTAGAGTTACGAAAGGGTAGAAAAAGCAGCTTGCTTGCGCTTGCGATGATCTTCGCTTACGTGCCTCCCCGGCCCCGCGGGCGAGGGAACATCCCGGAGAATTTTGTGGAGAAAGATTCAGATATAACTGTTGTTTGGCGGGACTTTACTCATAGCCAAAGTTTGGGGGCTGGGGAGGGAATCTTATTCTAATAAGTCTAGAGTCCCTTGCATAGTGAGATGGGCGGCGTATAAATTGGACAAATCAATCGATCTTGTTAAATTTTTGTTTGATGCATTTCTATGTATCAGCGTGGTTCGTGCAAAACTCTAAAATGCAGTGTGTTTGGCACGTGAAGTTAGAAATCGTCAATTATGGTGTATGCCTTACCATGTGTGAACCCAGTCAATTATGGCCTACTCTGTCATCTATGATCAACTATGGCTTAGTATGTTGCATAAATATAGATTTCTCTTTTTGATATAAAGAGTAGCTCTGCTATTGCAAATCTAATATCACCCTTATGTTGCATAAGGCCGCCTGCAAAATAGCAAACTCAGCGCTGCACGCGTTGGCCCTGAATAACGCTACCTTTGAACGGTCCGATTTTTGCAGCTCGGATCTCTTTACCGTCGCACAGTAGTACACACTCAGATTGCGTTAGGTGCTTTAATTATAAAAAGTGTATGAATGTGATACATGTTTCCGCCCGTTGAGTAATATTGCTTACTTCAAAAGGGAATAGCGCGATGGGTATGAATGCATGTTTTAAATAAAAATACAGGGGTGATCAGTTTGACTTTGGAGAAGCAGCACAAAAGAAACCAGCAGTGTCTCTCTATTTAGAGCAGGGTTTCTCAACCTTGGCAACTTTAAGGACAAGTGGACTTCAACTCCCAGAA